ACTCACAGAGATCCGCCTGCCTCTGCCTCCCGAGTGCTGGGATTAAAGGCGTGCGCCACCACCGCCCGGCTTAAAGAATATTTTTAAAAAGAAATGCTAGAAAGAAAACTGTTAGCTGTGGGTCTTCAAGTAGTAGGATTATTGAGACTTTTAATTGTCATTTTTGTTCCTCTGTTTACAAATGCCCCTTTCCAAGCACCTCTTCTCCCTAAAGCAGGTGAAAACAATCCTTGCTCCCTAAGCATAAGAAAACTAACTCCCTGCACAATTTAAATATTTAATGCTACAGCATGTGCTTAGAATCTCATCAAGAGTCACTCACCAAACATCCCAGCAAGTCACCCTGTAAATATTTGTTGAATGGATAAGTGCTAAGAATTCAAACCAGGGAAGATTCTTCAGACCAGAGTTGGCTGACAGAGCCTAATGGTAGAAGCAGAAACAGAACTGGTCCCAGAGAGGTGCAGGGTGGAGCGGGAAAGAGGGAAGGACAGAGAGAGGTGGGAAAGCGTGGGACAGTGAGCCCATGTTGATGGCACGAAAGGATAAGAGAGCGCTGGAAACCTATTGAGACAGGATTGCAGAGGGCTGTGTAATTATTTGATTCACATTAGTAATTATTTAATTGATCATTTGAAATTATTTAATGACGAAGGTGTTTGCCCTAAGGACGGGAACCGGTCCGACTTGTTCCTCACAGCTTTCCTGGCATCTCAGAATACCTGGCTCATAGCTAGTCACCTTTCTGGACACAGTCACACTTGATGGCTGACTTGGCTACAAGCCTAGGAAGTCTGGGTTTTATTTAGCAGACCAAGGTTATCCCAGGGCCAAGGAAATGGTTCAGTGGGTAGGAATGCTTGCTCCACAAACACGAGGACCCAAGTTCAGATCCCTAGCACCTGTGTAAAAAGCTAGACTTGGCTGTGTGTGCCTGTGACCCCAGCATTGAACAGACAGGCAGAGGGCAGAGCTCCCTGGCTGGCCAGCCTAGCTGGACCAGTAGGAGGTTTTGAGCAAGTCTTTGGGGGTAAAATGACAGATTTTTTCGGCACCCTTGGGTTCCTCAGCCTGGGGTTGATGAATGTCACCCAGAAAAGCAACATTTTCTCCACCAACTGGAAAGAATAGAACCAAGCAGGGAGAAGACAAGTGTCACTCGGTGACCCAGTCAGCATTAGACAGATCAGATCGTGGGACATCCTGACTGTATCCTGAAAGACATCTCTACAAGATGTTATTATTGTTTTTTATTAATTATATATTAATTATACATAATGTGTTTCATTCTGACACTTTCATACTTGTATATACTTTTTTAATCATCAACCCCCATTACTCTGTCTTATTCCCCCTCTCACTCCTAACTCGTCCCACCTGACATTCGTGTGTGTGTGTGTGTGTGTGTGTGTGTGTGTGTGTGTGTGTGTGTGGTCTCACCAAGCCTCGTTAGAATTGTTTATGGGGTCGTGGGCACCTTTGCCCTGGCTACCTCACTGAAGAAAATGGCAAGACAAGTTTTTGAAGCTGTTTCCTCATTGGTATAGTAACAGAACATACTTTTATGGATGTTATAGAGTCAAACAAGACATGATGCCCAAAGCGTGCTGTTTAGCACCCAGCAGCCATATTTCTTTTTCTCGGTTTCCACCCGCAGAAGCACGTTTAGCAACACCTTAGAATGTAGTGGGTCAAAAAAAGAAAAGAAAAGAAAAGGGAAAAAAGAATGGAGTGAGTCTTGACTGGGAGCTAACCTACAGTCCTTCTCAAAAAAATAATTAATTTAAAATTAAAAATAAGGAAGGCAGGAAAAAGGAAAGAGATGAAGAGAGAGGGAGGGAGGGAAGGATGACGGGGCTCGATAAGAGAATGAGGCCTTGAATTTGAGTTCTGATTGACGCTTATAGGCAAGTTAAACCCCTGTATCCCAGATCTCTCATGTGAAATAACATGAGACCTCTGGCCTCCCAGACTGATTAAGGGACATGGTGGATGACTGAGTACTGAGTTTAGCACCTAATTATCGTTATTTATCCTAAACTTCAACTTAGCAAGTGAATGCCACCCTCCCCTTAGTTCTTTAAGGGAACATCTTAATTTATATCGGCGGATATTTATTGTACGTAGTGATGGGCATCATAGACCTCTGTATTCAAGTGTAACATTTACCGTGTCCGACACCCACCCTCTCTTCACTCTTCCCTCCCCTCTAGTTTTCCTTCCCCATCACCCTCCACCTTCAAGTCTTATATGTGTGTGGGCTTAATTATATATATATATTTAATAATATATATTATATAATATATTATATATTAATTATATATCATACGTATAATATATATATGGTATGATACAGCTATATAAAATGTAGGTTCTACAAATGAAAACAGACAAATACAGCAACAACATGACTACATTTGTCTACGCTTTCCAGCAAATGATGTAAAAATTGTAAAGGTATTTATTATTTTGTGTGTGTGTGTGTGTGTGTGTACATGTGGAAGTCGGAGGACAACTTTGTAGAACCTGTTCTTTCCTTCCACCTTTCTGTGGGTTCCAGGAATCAAACTCAGGCCACCGGGTTTGCATGACGAATGCCTGTGTCTACTGAGCCGTCTCGCCAGCCCCGAAAATGACCCACTTTTGCTGACGGTTAAACTGGACTCTGTTGTGTGCATGTTTCACACTTGGGGTGTCCGTTCCCTGTTGATGGACATGTAGGCAGATCCGTAGGTGGCTACGGTGAAGAAGGCTGCAGTGAACAGGATTGCAGGCTGCCTGGATGGTCCCATGGCAGCCCTGCTTTCAGCTCTGTGAGGAAA